TTTACGAAAACAGAGAAGGGTCTATCTTCTCATAGGGAAGCATAGGGAAAAATGACTATTTTTGCAATAACTCAGCAATGGCATGGCCAATCATTCTCATCTTCGAACTCGACCGAGACATTGTTAAGACTAAACTGTGCAGAAAATTTCATCGCGATTGGACTCTTCTTTCAAACGTTATCGTGTATACGGCCGGACACACTGACCGATTCTAGAGTGTACTCATTTTTTGAGTACGCAAAAAGCATTAGAAATTTTTATGAATCAGGATGTTCACTCTGATGATGTGGCTAGACTCTGTAGGAAAGTGTTTGATATCTATCTAGAACAAAATAATTATGAAGATGCCATTATTTATCAGGAACAAGCAGATATAATTGATGAAAATTATAGAGAAAGATCAAAGTTTGATATCGAAACATCATTGAAATATTTTCAAAATCAATTAGATAATCAATCTGATCATTCATCATTTCAACGTACTAATACTTTATATTCAATAGGTCTATGTTTTATGAAGAAAAATGACTATTCTCAAGCATTAAAAAACCTTTTACAAGCGAAAGAATTGTTTGAAAAGCATGTACCATCGTACAATGATTTTTTCCATATATTTTCTCCTCTCTTTGAGAGTATTGCATTGGTTTATGCACTGTTGAAGGATTATTTCAATGCATTGATTATGTTAAAAAAAGTTAGTGATATACATATGAGTTTTAGTTCAGATTAGTGTTTGTTTTACATGGAATATGTACTATTTTCGAAACATTTTATCAAGACTTGATTGTCGAATTTGGTATTTTTTTCATTTATTATTTATTAAAGCTTTCATTTATCAACTAGTAAACATTAATAAGCAAGTGAACGTAATAATCTTAATTGTAATGGTATAGAAGCTGAAATGTAATATTTGTTTTAAATGTTTTATCTTGAAAACGAAGATATTCAAATGTAATTCTATAATAACATAAATGAAGATTGATGATTTGATTTTTGGTCATAATTGATTAACTCAAAAGAATTTTTATCAATGCGTACTTTATTAAATATTCTGTATCTACTAAGTAATTGGTGATTATAGCATAGAATCTATATGTCATGCATTACATAATATTGATCATATTTTTGTTTTATTTAAATAAATATATAATTAACATAAGAGAATTTGATTAAAATTCAAAGTTTATTTTTCTCAACAATGGCGAACAATGAGTAATTAAAATCATTAATAAAAATAATCAAACCAAATTCTTTTTGATTTTTCTTTCAAAGAACAATATTTGTTGAATGTCAGTTTGATGTTTTATATCATGTTTCTATATTTTTCTTTTTTGCATTTTCTACCATATGATTGACAGAGAATAGAAAATTGAACAATATGAAAAAGAAAGCTTTTTTTCAAGAGGTTTCTCATGATTATCAATCAATAATATGAACAAATTGATCTAGTAGAGAATGATCAACAAAAACAAAAATGAAAAGATTTCTTTTCCTTTCTAAACTAGTTAATTTGTTGTGTGAAAACATGTTTTATTAGTTCTGCTTAAAATAAGAAAAATCAAAAGTTATTGTTGATCAAAAGTATCTTATTCATCTTTTTCTAAAAATGTAAATAGATAGATGTAAATAACAATAAATCTATTCCATGTTGAAGTATATCACACATGGAAAATATTTCTTTTTTTTTTCTTATTTAAATGATTTTATTTCACTTGATCATCATGATTAAAATATATATTTGACTTTCGCAAACTCCTTTCTTTTATTGATAGAATTTTTAACACACAAAAAAATGATTATAATAATAAAGGAAAATATTGATGAAAATTTTCTGGACGAACAAATGGTTCAGATATTTCAAGATATTTCAATTTACCACAAGTGATACGTGCTGCATCATTTGTAAAATTGTTTGTAACTATTGCGAGTGATTCGTATTTAATAGAAAGATTTAATAAACGAGGTAGATGAATGTTTTTATCGAAGAGAAATTCTTCAACATAATCCATATGTGCCATGTCTATATCAAGAAGCCAAAGATAAGGAAATCTAATCAATGTAGATGAATGTTGTTTATCTTTTTGTGGGTGACAATTAACTATGTATAATTCTTTGAGAAAAGGAAAATCTTGAGAGATTAATTGGAAGAAATGATGTTCAAAAGGATATATTTCATCAATCATAATCAAACACTGAACTTTATCAAACATACCACCTTGGAAAGAATTGTTCAGACGATAAAAGTCTTCAAATTGATATGGAAGCGAATAAACATGACATATACCTTTGTTCTTCATTCCGATAGTTTGAACATCTGAACCAATTTGTCCATATACTCTTCCAATAAAACTACGTTGAATTTCTTCATTCGATCTATGATCAATTTTAATATTGTTGTTGAATAAAATTGTATCTATACTGAAAGTTAATTTGTTTAATCGTGGAATATAAATAAGGACTTCATCGTGTAATTGAATACCATCAATATAAGTCGAGTCAAATCTTATTACTGATAAGAATAATTTCAATTCTTCAAGATTTATCATTCGACGAAGTAATGGAATAATTAAATTATCATAAGCCATTGTTATATGAACTGAAGTCAATGAAAAAGATTTCAATTTAGGAAGTTTTTTCTATCAAAAAAAAAAAAAACAAAAATTAAGAATATGCATCTATTTGGTTTCGTATTTTTTCCTTCAAAAACAAATGATCGAAACAAAACTAACCGTATTCTTTATCTTTGATATGACAGGTGGAATTTTTAGGACACGAATAATCAACGTTGATAAACAATTGAGTCGTCCATCAAGAAGATAAAGACAATCAGCAAAATTGTCGACATTAATGTTCAATGTAGTTAATGTTGAAGATATGCAATTTGTTGTTGATGGTTTGAAAATATGGATCGCCATTAAACGATAACGATATGATGAACAAAAATTTAAAGAGATCAATCGTTTACATAATGATAAAATCAAGACAAATATCTTTGATACAGTTTTAGATAATGGTGGCGTGCTAGTCTTAACTTCCATATCAATAGAGAGATGTGTAATTTGTTCAGAAAGAAGATCACAGAGAATTGAATTACCTTAAATTAAAAAAAAAACAATTCTTAATTTATATTTTAAGAATTTCATTATTTGGTTAATTAATAATGAATAAAATGAAGTAATTTACCTTTTAAATATTGCAGAAGAATTTTTTCTTGAAAATCAACAAGTGATAACGAATAAAGTTGAGAATAATTAACAGTAAGAAGACGATCCATTGAATGTGGATCGACAGTAAGTTGATTTACTTGATGATGAATTCGGGGTAAGATTTGTTCACAAATTCTTGAAAGAACTTGATCATCAATTGAATAGATACGATCAAATACTGATCTGATGGTCATGGTGGTCATATTAAGATGACGAATATAGAGATGATCGAGTATTAATTGATCAAATCGTTCATTAACATCCACAAGTGAATAAAGAACATCGACCATATTCAGTTTCTTACAAATGATGAGTAAAATTTCATTCGACAAATCAAGTATATTGAGATGATTTTTATTTGCAGTGTTCATCTTTAATTCTTAATATCTATTCGTTTCAATTTATATATGTTTCTTTTTTCTCGCTGCCGTCTAATGAGAACAATGAAAAAAAAAATATTTATCTCATTATTAGACTATCACAATTAAATGATGATCTTTTTCTTTCTGTCTAAAATTGTTGTGTTATTCATTAACAGTGTATTCGTCAGGTCATACTTCTTTCGTCATGATGTTTATTATGTACGATGCTCTTGATAGCGCAAAGTATGATGTTGACATTATGGCATGGCGAGGCATTAGCCATCATCGCATGCGGAAGGTTTAAACTGAGAAAAAGGAAAGAAAATGCTCTCTACAATCGAAAGTGCACTATCAACAGATTATGAAATATGTTACAAACTCTGAGATACTCTATTGATGAGTGACAAACACTATTTTTTCTCTAAGAAAGCGATTTATTGACTAATTTCACGAAAAAAAGTATAGTTTTGCATCCTGTTAAATTGCATTTTTTGCGGAAAAGATAGACAAAAGTTCTAATGTGATTTCATTATGAGAATAAAATTTAATTAATGGAACAATAAAATTATCTCCGTACTACTCGTGGATTAGAAAAAAAAAGATGAATTTTAACCATGATCATTTGAAATTTTAACTTCTTAAAGCTTCTCCATTAAAACGTCAAAAAACGATGAAATTCTCTGACAGACACTAGTTTTAGTTTTTTATTCGACACAATTATGCTCGTTAAGAAATGACCTGATATTCTGAAAGCTTGTAGAAAACTGAATAACTTTCACATAGCAGATTTATTTTAATGTTGCTTCATTTCATAGTAAAATGCTAAACTCTCATCCAACTCTAAAAACTAATTCTATTTAGTGAAATTTCGTGACGCTTGATCATGCCGATTAGAAATCTACTCATAGACTATCAATCCTATCGTTTAATAAAAGACTACCAGTGATTTTATTTGACTAAATAGAAAAAATCAATGTTGTCAAAGTGTCAGATACAGAGAGAGAGACGGTAGTTGGTATGGTCGAATCCAGAAATTTGTCAAGATATAATTGAAAGTGTTCTCTGGCACCAGAATCGAGATCGAAGATTGGAGTTAGATGTTCCATTGAATGTGAGTAACTTGTTTTATGTATGATATCAATCATAACATAATTCATGAGAGAACACAAATATTGTGACATTCGTTGACTCGATAAATGAGAGAAGCAAAATCTTGAGAATATTTTAGAATTTGTGCGTATATATTACTGACCATTACAGAACAATTCCTACCAGAGGTCCTAATGGACTGGATCAAGCTCAATCCACCTGTGGATCGGATTTTTTTTTTGACAAAATATCCATGGGTGGACTGGGCCGATCCGATTTTGTGGAACTCACATATAAAAATGTCGGTGTAAATTTTAAGTCGAAGTTTTCCGGCTCCCTCCTCATTACAGACAGCTTTCATTACAGACAGGCGCGAGATAAAAATTGGATGCCATGTTTATTTGCTGAGTGAAATTGTTCATTATATATTTATCGAATCATTTATATTAGTTGTATTTTGTGATAATCAATTATAATGGATAATGTAAATAATACTTCTAATAATGGAGAAGAAGATACAAAACTTATTATTAGTTCATTATTCACTGATATGGTTACAGAAGTTTTGTTGATGCGTCAACAGCATCTTGCAAAACTAAATAGAGGACGTGTACGTCGATGTCGAGAACCAAAAGTGACAAGGAAATAAAAACGAGTATATGTGTCAAGTACGAGAACAAAAACGAAAAAATCGAGAAGTGCGTCGATGAAATAATGACAACAATGAAGAGTGATTGTAAAGAGATGAACAAGTTAGTTCAGCGTTTCAAATTTAATAAAGATAGTTTCTTCGGTTAAATCAATGATTAGATAAATAGAAATAACGGTAGATTAAGAAAAAAAAAAGAAAAAAGAAAAGAAAATAAATAACGAGCGAATACCAACCAACAAATAAAAAACAGAGCGCCAGTAAAAACAATTTAAGAGAAAATTTCCGTTCGAAATTCGAATATAAATAGGAAAGATCATTTCTCTGACGATCAATAGTTCTGAAACCAACTATGGTCTATTAAATATTATTCACTTGATGTATTTTATATTAGGATAATTAAGCTGAAGAAGATATGTGAGTTTCACATTTTATCCCAAAAGGGGCTGCGCTGACAAGCTTTTCTCTAATAATCTCTTCTATTATTTCTGGTGGTATATTTTGTGAAACACGATTGGAAAGGAATGCTGAAGTATATAGCGAGAAATTTTGGACCCCGCCTCCATCGCAGACTGTGACAATGAATATAACTTAGCGAGAAGAGAAGAATTGGCCCTCTTCTGCTTTTTGTTTTTGATTTTTAGATTGATCCACTGCGTGAAACCTAGGGCAGTCGCTAAGTTATGTCCATGATGGCGACACACATTCGAGCAGTGATCACCCTGACTACAGGATCGCTGAATTCGGTGGCAAATTCGATGTCTTTTCGAGTTTTGAGATTTAATAATTCGAATCCTTAGAAATCCATATTTTTCTTTCTCTTCAGATAAGATTTGTCAAAATAAACAGCTTTATCGTCTTTGACAATTTAATCTCAAAGAGATTGCGCTAACAGATTTCACTAGAGATATATGTGCTAGGGGTGGGACTTTACCTTTACTTTACTAGTAACCAGGGATGCCACCTCATCGGGCCAAAAAAGCGGAATTTTCCTTGTGAAAAGCGGAAAATATATTTCCAAAAGTGGAAAAATTGCGGAAATGATTATACACTCTTTCCTATATGTAGTTCTAGTCAAATGTTTCGAATTTCTCACAACAATAAACATATTGGATTCGAATTTTTTAAAATATCTGAAACGAAAGAATATTTAGCAACATGTATCAACCAGTTGTTGACTAGCCGCGACTTGATAAAACAAAAAGGTGAAGGCTTCGTCGAAGCACGCTTTTATTTTATCTAGTAGCCGTTTTCAAATTTTACTAGCAGTTGATGAACTCATAACAAGCTTCTACCAATAAAAAGTGCTCTGACTACGCATTCAGCGGATTTGAAGAGAGCAGTCGCGTTTTTCATGACTGAGTTTTGTAGTGAGTATTATAAACACGGATCCAGTTTTCTGTCACGCTCGCCCAAAATCTATCTAAGTTTTTCATTCCCTCAAAGCAATGGTATGGCAACGAACGACTTTGATTAACGTTTTAAGATGGGTAGACCAAGCGAATCTTAGTAAGAAATTACCAATTGCACAGATTCATACTGCTATGATACCTTAAAATCTTACCTATTTCAGGAAGTAGCATCGCTCAAACTTATCAAACCAGTTTGATGTGAAATGTTTTGGCTGTAGAAAGTTGTGTATAGGATTGGAATGATTCTCATTAGGTAAAAAAAAACAGTGTTTATTCGCTCAAATCCGTTGTGCTTGACCTGATCAACAACAGATCAATGTCATGGACTAGCGATTGTTTTGTCTTTCAGGCACAAAAATTTTGGCTAAATATCTGATATTAAGCAGCAACTTTCGTTCGTAGAATCGAAAGATTTAACTCGAAATGTGTAACAATATTTTTCTTGGTATGATGCAGTTCACTGTACGAAAACCTAATATATAAGCAGAAGAAAAAACAATTTCATTATAAATATTCTGAATTAATTTGCATCAGCCATGTTTTGTAAAAGAAGTTCTTCTTTTACACAGCAACGACGAATTTAAACATCTATCTCATTTCGGCACAATCAATGCTTTTGACTTGAAGCAAGGTATTTTCTAAAAATGAGAATTCTAGATATAGCATTTCGTCATGTGATTGATAAATCTCCTTCGAAAACATATAGAATAGGTGAGTTATGGATGCGGTAACCAACTGCAATGCAAGCTTTTTTTCTTAAAAAGTGTTAGCTAGATGGGATAACTCGTGCCATCAAAAATCGAGGCTATGCTGGGAAAAAAAGAAAAAAACTGAAAAAGCGGAAAAAAGCGGAACAGCGGAAAAAAGCGGAACAGCAGAAAAAAGGCGAAAATGCGGAAACTTTCCGCAAAAAGCGGAAAAGGTGGCATCCCTGCTAGTAACTATATAGTTACTTATTTACCAGTAACTAGTAACTTCATATTTACTTATTTACCAGTAACTGGTAACAACATATTTACTTAGTTACTAGTAAATAGTAACTATACATTTACTTAGTTACAGTAACTAAGTAACTACATATTTATTTAGTTACTAAATAGTAACTACCTAGTTACTAATAACTACTAACTACTATAGTTACTTAATTACTATTATCCGATCCACAATAAAAGGCAGGTTACAATTTTTCGAATAACTTTTGATAGGAACGAGATAGAACTGTGATTTTCACCATTCGAAAGAGCAGGAGCTGAGCACCAATTCCATATAAAACCAAGGGATCAGCATCATATAAAGATACGTTTAATTAGTTGGAATTTTCCAAAACTTTGCAATCCTCATGATTTTCATTACATATTTCTTGTTTAGGAGTGGATTCGATAGCCTGGATCATGCTCTATAAAACTATGCAAATCGCAGGTCTTTATCATTTATTGCTTGTACAAGGCATCAATTTCACCGAAAGCAACTACATCGAATTTTAAAAGTTCTCATTTCTTCTTCGAATATGAAGAATGTATAGAAAATAGGTTATCTTCTACGTCGAACATCCTAGAATAATGAGTTTTATCTCAAAAAGTGTATTCTTTGTTCAGTCCATGAAATGAGTCTTCAAACAGAAATATAAAATCGTAACGGAATTGAAAATTTTACGAAAAAGTACGTTTTTGTGCCAATGAGAATATGTGTAAGTGGACAACAAAAAATAGGAATTCAATCATCCACTTCTTTATTGGTCTCATCCTCTGATTCATCGCTTGTATCATCGTCCATTTCAT